GTTTCGGTGCTAGAGAGATGCACCTTCGTCAGGGGCAATTTTGCACTATACCTAATCTATCTCTATTTCTGTTCTATGCCTGTCTAGCTAGATTAACAGGGAGAGAGGCTTTGTAATTTAATCTATACTACCAGTCTATCTTTTTGACTGGCTTTTTACATTTAATTACCTCTATCCTTTCATCTATCCTTTATAGCTCGATTTGGAGCATACTTTATATAGATTTGTATACTAGACGATTCCTAGGATAGATAATTGTATGGGACTTACCCCCCCCTTTTTTTACCCTCACCCTAATAGCATATTACAATAAAGCTGATAACTAAGGGTGGAGTTATGATGTAGGTTATATCTTGATATCTCTATCAATTACATCCTGGTCTGGCATAGAATTTTTGTATCACCTGTATATACTTTATTTATTTCTTATTTTTCATTATATCACCATAGGTCTCTCATTATGTTTTATAATTTAATAAGCCAGGGTTTATAGTACACTATACCGTTATATATACTTCCAGGCCATGCAGCTGATCTCAAGTACATTCTGAGACAGACTGCATATTGTAATAACTTTTTTGTTGTTTTGTCTGCTTATTTGGGGTTAAGCCCCTCTGAGATACCTGGAATCTCGCTTCGGTACACTAGTCCCTGTGAGGCACCTGTTGATCTCTCCCCCCTTTTTTTCGTTCCATCCTGGGGAGAGTGTATACATGTGGATACACAGAGACATAGAACCTTGTGTTCTCTATCCTTCTTTAATAGTAAAATACACCTAGACAGTGTATGTATGTGTATGTATATGTGTATATATATACTTAGATCATATATATATATATGGGATTGCCGGCGACCGTGTAAGTAACAAAAACCGTGAGGGCGTACTATTACGCCCTGCGGCTTTAGAGCCACTTAGAATAGGGCGTAATAGTACGCACTCCAGGTTTTAAGGGGTTAATACAGTTAGTGTGTCTGAGTGTGTATCAGAACTCCACATAGTAAAACTCACAGCAATGTGTCTTTAAACTACAATAAATGTAAATAAGATACATTGTTCTACATTCAGTGGCATACTAATGGGGGGGGAGGGAGACCTGGGTACCACTCACTTAGGGGTGCCCCTGCAGGGCCAGCATTTGGTGTGCAGGGTGTGCAAGCTGTGCGAACTGTGCGACTGACACA